TGGCAATGTGCCTTTTAATTTCCTGGCTGCTGGTGCCAAGAGTGTTGACTGTGAAGCAAAGCAAACTAAAGCTGTGAGCAATCTCAATCTCTTCACCACCCATCCTGATGCTGCCAATTGGCCCAGTGGTGAGAATATTTGTCTTCTTGACATTGAGCCTAGATCCATATTGGAGGGTACAATCCTTGACCATCTGCAGCAGGTGCTTTAGGTCCTCCTCAGTTTCAGCAAGTAGGGTTGTGTCATCTGCATAATGCAGATTGTTGATAGATTGTCCACCAATCTTGACCCCACATTTCTCCTCATAGAGCCCAGCCTCCTGGATGATCTGTTCTGCATGCAGGTTGAAAAGGTATGGAGATAGGATGCATCCCTGGCGTACACCCTTCCCAATTTTGAACCATGCAGTGTTCCCTTGCTCTGTTCTGACGACTGCCTCCTGGCCCAAGTATAGGTTTCGCATTAGAACGATCAAGTGTTCTGGGATTCCCATTCTTCTCAGAGTCAGCCACAGTTTGTTATGATCCACACAATCAAATGCCTTTGCATGCTAAGATCCATCTAACATCAGCTACAATATCCCTAGTACCACAACCCCTTCTAAACCCAGCCTGGACCTCTGGCAGTTCTCTGCTGATGTGCTGGTCCAGTCGTTTCTGGATAATCTTCAGTAGAATCTTGCTTGCATGAGAAATCAATGAGATTGTTATATATACACACACACACATAAAAAGCATTGATGTGTGCATCTGCATCTTCAGGATTGTTCTTGAATGTTGCCAAAATCTTATTGGAAGCTCTGATGGCCTAGCAGTAAGAATCTGTGCTGCAATCCCAGAGGTATGCAGATTGAATCCACCAGCTGCTCCTTGGGAGAAGGATGGGCAATCTCCTCTGGGGCAATTAACTATCTCTGAAAACTCACTGGATAATCAGACTGGATGGTATACAACAACATATAAAGTTGGTATGCACTAGTCCTGGTGGCCTAGTGATAAGGAGCTGCATTACCAACACAGAGGCAAGAGCTTCGAATCCACCAGCTGCTCCGCAGGAGAAAGATGGGTAATCTCCTCCCAAGCAATGTAGTGCCTCTGAAAACAGCTGTGGATTGTTTCTGACTCAACGGTACATGTCCAGACTGGAGCCTTAGCAACTTAGAGCCCTACCAAATGGCTGCTAGTCTATCAGCTTTCCCATGGGAGAAAGATGTGGTAGTGTACTTTATGCATTACATCCTTGTAAACCCTGTCCCACCGTTCTACACCATCCTACTTGGTCATGGGCCAGCATCAACTCAACAGCAACAGGTTCAGTTTGAGTTCTCTTTGTCCAGATACTGGTCAAGGAGTTGAAATTACAGTATAAACCAACAAATCAATTGCCCTCGAGTTGACTTTTGCTCTTGGAGACTCAATGTATATACAATCCCATAGCACAAAGAATTTTCAGTGTTTGACTATTTATTTTATTTTTTATTTTTTTTTTTGGAAGTAGATCACTGGGTTTTTTCTTCCAAGGCACCCTGCATTGACTTGAACCTGCACCCTCTGGGCAGTAGCCCAAGATATAAACCATTTGTACCACACAGCATAAACAAATATTCTCAGCTTTTTGGGGGTAAAATGGGGGGAGCAGATAATTAAAAAAATAAACATGTTTGTCAGATAGTAATTATACTCCATGGGGGGGGAGGAGACAGGCAAAGAGATTAGAGAACAATTGTGGTACTATTTAGATAAGATGATCAGGAAGATTATTCTGATAAAACAATATTTGGCCTAAATCCAGTTTGGTAAAAATTGAAGTATGTAATCGGAAGGTCCCCAAGCAAGTTCTGTCACTTCCTCACTCTGTGGTCTTCTGCACAGTGATTAGCTTCTGTGAGTGTAGCCTGTAAATTACTGAGAGAATGCAAAAGGAAAAATGCATCGTAAATGGTTTATTACAGTTTATGAATCTATTTTTATTGCTCATATTATGAATTTTATTGATATATTAATAACCACCGCATGACCAAGGAAAAATATACTCCAAGTCAGTAAGGGGGGCCCTTTGGCACAGTTCCTGGCATTTGCAATTCAACGTCTGAATTCCTTTCTGAAGTTAAAAAAAAAAAGCAGCATCATTATTGGCTTCAGTTTTGATTGAGGATTTTCCTCTTAACAGTGATCCTCTATTATTCTGAATATATCCTCTTCAGGAACTGGGCCCTCCTGGTAACAGCCTCCTGGTACTTATGACAAAGTCTCCTTGCTTCATGCAGCACTTTGGTTGCAGCACTAAGAGACTCCTTGTTCTTTTGGCATTTGGGCCAACACCACGATTCACAGGCATTAATTTTGCTTCAGTCTTCCTTATTTCTAATCCAATTTTGCCATGCACACGAAGACCTTTTGGAGATTTCTGCTTGTTTTGACATCAGTCTTTTCCTGAATCTAGGAGGCTCACCAGACAGGGACCCTGAATCCAAGGACTCAGCTCTAGGCTCTTTCTTTTTGCAATTGCTGAGGATCCATTCCTATCCCACCTCCACCCTTTCTGCTCTCTTCTCTTGTTGTTGTTCTTGTGGTTATGTGCTGTTGAGTCACTTACAACTCATAGCAACGCTACAGACAACAGCCCTAAACCTTGCTCTCTCCTGTGCCAATCATATTGTCTCTGGCACACCTACCCTCATTACCCCAGTCACTGAATCAGTCCATCTCATTGAAGGTCTTCCTCTTTTGTGCTCTCTCTCCAACCTCCCAGGCATGACGTCCCTCTCTAAGACTAGTCCCTCCTTGCAACAAAGTATGTCAGACGAATCTTCAGAATCCTTGCTTCCAAGGAGCAGCCTGGTTTCACCCTCAACAGGACAAACTTTTTTGTTCTAGCAGTCCATGTTATATTCAATACTCTTCTCCAGCACCACAGCTCAAAGCCATCAATTCTTCTATCATCCCTATTGTCCAGCTTTCTGATACATAACAAGAAATTGCAAAGACGATGGCTTAGATCAGGCACACGTTAGTCTCCAGACTGACATCGTTGCTCTTTAGTACTTTGGAGAGGTCCCTGACAGCTGATTTTCCCAATGCACGTCATTTTTTTATTTCCTGTATTGATTGTGGAGCCTTGCAAACTAAAGCTGTTAACAATCTCAGTCTCTTCACGGTCTATCATGATGCTGCCTATCAGACAGGTGAGAATCTTTGTTTTCTTGACGTTGGGCTTCAATCTTAAGGTTGCAGTCCTTGACCTTTTGCAGCAAGTGCTTCAGGTCCTCCTCAGTTTCAGTAAGTTGGGTGTGTCATCTGACTAATCCAAATTGTAGATGAGTCTTCCTCCAGTCCTAATACCACCTTTCTCCTCATAGAGCCCAGCCTCCTGGATTACCTGTTCTGCATATAGGTTGAAAAGATATGGAGATAAGACACATCCAATTTTGCTTCGAATCCACCAGTAGCTCCCCAGGAGAAGACAGCCTCCTCTCAACTGATTTGCAGTGTTTCCTTGCTCTGTTCTGACGACTGCCTCCTGGTCCAAGTATAGGTTTCACACTAAGCACAATCAAGTGTTCTGGGATTCCCATTCTTCTCAGAATTAGCCACTGTTCTTCTCTAATTTAAAAGGAGTTGCAATTAAAAAAAAAAGTGTTGCAAGTCCTCCCATTTGGGATTTCATTGTTACCTTACTAAAAATATGAGGGTTTGGGATTTGTAAAGAATCCTTTTATAACGGATTCGTTTAATGGCTTATGAGGGATCATTACAAATGTGCCACATTTACATCTTTATATCCAACTGAGAAGTATGACCCAACCAAATAAACACACATTTCAGAGAGATACAAATTCATGACACTGAGAACACAGACACCTTGGTTCTAGTGTCTGCCACACTGTGAAGTTCAAGAAATCTTTTTATCAATTCTAGGCATCTGTTCCAGAATTTCTATGCAGGAAGGGCTTAAGGGAGCTCTGGTGGGGGTAGGCTTTGAGAGCTGCCATCGCTAGTTGAGATGCCATGGTTCAAACCCACCAGTGGTCCTCCAGTAGAAGACAGTCTCCTGTCAACTGATTTACAGCCTCCCAAAACCAGGTTGAGGATCAGTGAGGTGTCAGTTCCAATGCCACAGCAGTGACTCTGACTTTCGTGTGGGATGGTGCCATAGCAAAAGGTCAGCAGTTCGATTCCATCAGCTCAAATACCATAATGGCTACCCATCGTGGGCAGTATTTGGTGGAAGCTCCCACACTGATTCAAGTTTGGAAGCAGAAGTGGCATCCACTTCCTAAAACCACATGCCTCTGGAAACTATGAACTTGGAGAAACGACAATAATTATAGAAAGGCTTCAGACCTTTTGTTTATAGAGTCGCTATGAGTCGTGCTCCACTGGACGGCAATAAACAACAAACTCAAAGACGGGCAGTACTTGTAGTTATGTACCATTGATTGGCCTGAGACTCATAATGACCCTTTGTACATTAGCTCTGAGCCCTGCCCTACCCTGACCCAATGTCATCATCTTCAACAGACCTAAATCCCATTTCTCCAGTCACTGAGTCAACCCATCTCATCCTGGGTCTTCCTCTCCTGCTCTATCCCTCCACCCTTCCAAGCAGGATGTCGCGTGCACAAAGTATGTGAAACGCAGCTTCAAAAAGCCTTGCCTTCAGAGAGCAGCCAGGATTCACCCTTTCCAGGAAAGACTAGATTAGGTTAAGTCAATAAAAAGGGTACATTTGCGAGTGTTTGCATAACAAGGATAGTTTCCTTCATAGGACCTATAATGTTTACTTAAAATTGGGCTTGTGGCTAAGGGAAGCCGGCCACCCTTCGACACCCTATTATTCAGTGGCAGCTAAAATCTGAGGTTTCTTCCCGCCTCGAAATCAATCTGCTCCAGAGGCTCCCCCTCCTTTTTTTTTTCTGTGCCCCCTCTCCCCCTTTTTGAAGCAGATGGTCGCTCCCGTTCTCCCAGCGAGATCAGGTTCCGCGCTCCTGAGTCACAAAGCGACAGGGTTACGTGGGCGGGCCGGCGTGCTTTGTGAAGTCACCGACTCCGCCCCCGGCCCCGCCTCTCTGCTCACGTCAGCCCTGCCTCGCGGGCGCGAGGCCCGTGCGATTACTGCTTAAGAGACCCCGGAGTGGGACGGTCGTGCGAAACCTGTCTGCGTCCGCCATAGTGCTGCCTCGGAAGTGTCGCCGACGCTGGGGTGAGCGACGAAGAAGCGCCAGGGGAGCAAAAAAAAACCAACACAAAAACCAAACCCAGGGAACCAGCGCCGCCCTGGCTGTGGCCCGGCAGGTTCCGGGTCTTTTTCTCACGGTTCTGGGCCTCAAGCCGACGGAAACGAAAGGCAGAAGAAGCCGCGGAGCAGCGGACGGGAAGAAGCGTCAGGGAGAGCCGGCAGTGCCCCCCTCCCACGCCCGGGACCCTCCGGGACCACTCGGCCGCCGTTCGGGGCCCAGGCTGGTGAGGAAGCGCTTGGAGGCCGACTCGAGCCCTCGCCCCGACTTTGTGCGTGGAGCGGCGGCGGCGGCGGGGGGAGGTGGAGCCGGGGCCGGGGCGGTCTACGGGAAGGCCTCTCCGCCGCCGCCCGGGCGCTTGGGGGCCTAGGCCGCGGCGGGCCAGCCCCTAGGCGCCGGGGAGCCCAGCGGAAAAGAGGTTTGTGTGTGGCGGGGGCCTGGGCCTGGGGGCAGCTGACGCCGGTCGTCGGGAAGCCAGGAGAGGTCGCTGGTGGATTCCGGACCTAGGCCCTCTCCCCGCAAACTTCTCCCGAGGCCTGGTCACCCCAGTCAGATCCACGGAAAAGGAGACCCGCCGGGAGGTGCGGACGCGCCATGGACCTCTGACCCCCGCCGGCGTCACTCGGACTCTTTGTAACGTGTGGACTGACCGCTACGGACTGCACCACCCGCCTGTCCCCGCGTCCTGCGGCCCTTTAGCATGAGCGAGGGGGACCCGGCCGGGTGACATTGAGCCCGTTGGCGGATCCGCCATCCCCCCCCGCCCCGCCCTCATCCGCCTCCTTCTCCTCCCACATGAAATGATTCTGAGTTTTGGGGGTTCTGGATGATTGTGCTCACGAACCCCTGCTTTTGGTGGGGGGTTATTTAAGGCCGCAGGGTCCTTCGGTGTCTTTTGAGTGTCTTGTGTGTATACATATATTTTTTTTCGCTTTTTTTTTTCTGCTCTTAACGTTTATAAATATACATTTATTGAGCGTGTCCACGTCTCCTCGCTGAACCTTAGGCATCCCTTTGGCACCATGTCCTGTGTGCATTATAAATTTTCCTCTAAACTCAACTATGACACGGTCACCTTTGATGGGCTCCACATCTCCCTCTGCGACTTAAAGAAGCAGATTATGGGGAGAGAGAAGCTGAAGGCTGCCGACTGCGACCTGCAGATCACCAACGCACAGACGAAGGAAGGTAAGAGCTGTCCCGATCGCCCGGGTTGGCAGAGGCCCGGTAGGAGGCTCACGGCCGTGACGTCTCCTGTGGGTTCCATCGCTGGGCGGCCAGCGCTCTGCCTTCCTCTCGCCGTTTCGCGGGCCTGGGTGTCATCTGTCACCGCCAAGTCCCCAAAAAGAAGCCCTTTGACCCCTCCGCCTTGGGGCAAGGTGGTTTACCCAATTACCTAGGTTCTTGGGGTGCTTGACGTGTGAGTTTATGGGATCCCATCACCACCATGGGGAGGAGAGCATATACAGGGCTTGTTGAGTCAAGTAGTCGGAGAGAAACTTGCTCATATGGTTTGATCAGACGGCGATGTGGAGCTTGGTGGCGAAATCCAGGTCCCGCGTCTTGTTTTTTTGGGGGGAGGAGGTGTGAAGCGGATCAGAGCTGTGTTGTGGGAAAGGAATCCTCACTTGGTTATATTTTTAGAATTTAGTCTTTAGCCTCTCCTTAGGGTTGGAATTGTTTTTAAAAAGGGATGTGTCCTCAAAGGATAGATTTTTTTGTGTGTGTACATGCAAGAATTGCTAATGCAGTTAATTAAAGTAGTTGAACTCTTTGATGACCACTAAATGAAGCAGTTTTGCAAAAAGCTAATGTTTTGGGTTTTTGGTGGGTTTTTTTTTTTCTTTTTCTTTTTATAGTGTTGCCAGACTACTTTGATCTTAACAGAGCTCATTGCCATTGGGAACTACTTCATAGCTGACTCCCGACCCCTATGGGCTCACACGCTGGAGGGGATTGAAATTGCCCATCTTTCTCCCTGGGTGTTGGTGGTGGATTCACAAGTGCCAGAGAGGCAGCTAGCAGTTCTCCTCCCGTTTTAGATGTACAATACTAGGGACTTAACAGTGAATTTTTAAGAAACTGTGTTAATAACCTTTTTAAACCGGTTTTGAACTTTTTTCACTTGCTATTCATCAGTACACATATGCTGATGTTGTTTTCTTTAGGTTCCAGTAATTTGCATGAGAGGAAATAAAGTGACGTTTTGATTGTGTTATGTGCCTTCAGGTTGCCTGTAACTCATAGTGCCCCTTGTACAGCAGCCCTGAAGCCTGTCCTGAGCCAGTCTCACTGACTCTGACACACACACCTACCCCCATTATCACAGGTGTCAGTCCATATCATTGGAGTTATTTCCAAGCATTATGTCCCTCTCCAAGGACTGGTCCGCCGTAGCCACATACCCACAGTACATGAGATGGAGCTTCAAAATCCTTGCCTCTAAGGAGAAACTTGGTTTCACCACCGCTGTACTTGATTTTAAAGTTTGACATTGTTCATTTAGTTTTAATAGGAAGGCCTATACCTCTGGCCAATTATATGGTGAGTAGAATAATAAATCTAGTCATAGAGTAGAGCAATTTTCCATTTCTAACCATACGTTAGTTGCATTACTACAGTGCTAGTATGTTATGATTAAAAATATTGCTATAGTGCTCGCTTCGGCAGCACATATACTAAAATTGGAACGATACAGAGAAGATTAGCATGGCTCCTGCACAAGGATGACGCGCAAATTTGTGAAGCGTTCCATTTTTTTAAAAAAAAAATTGCTATAAGTATTTGCTCAGTATGCCTTCATTCTACCCTCTCCCCTCACGTTCACTTTTTTAAAAAAACAAAATGCATGCCATACCAAAGGAACACTTCATAGGAAGCTTTGGTACTTGTAATTATGATTGGTGTGGTAGTACTTAAAAGGTGGGAACATTGTTTGCATTCATAAACAGTGGATAAATGGATTTTGTTTTTTACATATTCAAGAGGTACCTTAACAAAATACACTCTTTTTTAAGACTACTGAAAGTATCCCTTAAGTATTATAGTTAGTGTTTCATAGAACAAAGACTTAATGGACTTTTATTTGTAAAATACTAATAATTTTTCTGTTATTATTAAAGGCATCCTAGTGGCACAGTCATTAAAAAAATTAAGGTGTTAACCAAAAGCCCAGTTTTAACCCACCAGTGTTACTCCAGGGGAGAAAAGTATGCTACGTAAAGATTTGAAAGCCTTGAAAACACTAAGGGGTAGTTCTACTGTGTTCTAAAGGTTCACTGTGTCTTGGAATCATTTTGATGGCAAGGAATTTGGTAGTGTATTTGTCAATAAAGGGAAAGGAAATACAGATGAGGTTACTATTAAAAGATGTTAAGGCATATACTAGAATGTAGATTCCGTACTTTGGTGGAGTGTTACATAATACTTTCTGGGAAGGCTTTCTTCACCCGACAGTTCAATACAGTTTTATAAGCCTTTCATTATAATCAAAGGAATTTCTGTACATCACATTTAAATGTTTTATGACTTTGTGTTATTTTCTAGTCTTGGCTATATAATTATGTGATAAAATGTGGTACCGCTTAACCTTGCAGCTTTCTCATATCTATGTATTTCCTTTTATTGGAGGAAAAAAATAGTTTGAATATTACAATAGGAAAAAGACTCTGGGGTAGAGAAAATATGTTTTATGCAGTCCTCATTAGGGAAGAAACGTGGAATAGTACCTGTTGCCACCAGACAGCTGGCATAAAAAATGCCACTTCATTTTGGAATCACCTCATGATTTCTTACAGGGTAAAAGTTTATAAATTCATATTTAAGAGACTGACTAGGTGAAGAAGCAGAATATTATTTTAAATAATACTCTAATGGCTATTTCTGTGAAAATTTGTTACTATTTTGGGAGTCTGTCCATGTTTTTAAAAACCTATTGCTGTCAAGTCAGTTCTGCCTCTTCAGAGACCCTAGAGGAGAGCAAACACCCTATATTTCCCAATGCCAGAAATCTGCTGGTGGGTTTAAATTGCTAATCTGTGGTTAAGAGCCAAGCACCTATTGAACCACCATGACTTCTGTCCATGTGTAGAACCCCAAAGGCTTTCTTACACTGAAACAAAAATTATATGTTCTTTATACTCATTCTTGTTACCAGACCACATTTTAGAATCCCAGATAGTCTTATTACATGTAGAAAACTTGTTCTGTTTTTACTTTTTATGTGCACCACTCCTACCTCACCCCTTCCCAAAATAAACTGTATTTTAAATGTACTTACTTGGAGAGATTTAAAAAATTAATAAAGTAAAAAAAAAAAATGAATAAAGTAATTTTTCTTTCTTCCCCCTCCTCTTTTTTAAAAAGACTCATTTTTTTTTAAATGATCCCTTGTTATCTTTCGGATTTCTTTCTTCTTCTTTATCTTATTATCCCTTCATGCTTCTGGATCAACACTTGCATTGATAATGAAGTCACCTTGATGCTGGAAAGTTACTTGCTAAGTCAAAGGTTATATATGCTCAGAATACAGCTGTTTAGGAGATTATTAATATTTTAAAAGGTCAGTAATTTTAAAAGGTTAGTAAAAGCATCTGTTGAATGAGGACAGGCATTAGTTAGGATACCTCTTGGTATGTAGCTCAGGACCATATTGATAAGATTAAGTTATCTTTGATAGCTGTTCTGAGTACCCTTGAGAATTATTGGAAATTTACTGTCAGGTTTATAATTCCAAGTTTTGTGTCTAGTAATTAAACACTTGGCTTAGCTAGTCTAACCTCACTAGCCTCTGCTGGAGAAAGATAAAACCGTTTCTTTCCTTGGAACCCAATGGGGCAGTTTGGCTTCACCCTGTAAGGTTATTCTGAGTTGAAATTGATTTAGGAACAGTTGGTTTCGGTGGGGTTTTTTGATTGTTTCCCGAAGTAGCTTTAAAAAGTCACTGTACTTCTCAGCTTTGTTTCTCTTAATCTCTACTTTTGCTTGGAATTTAGATCTAATATCTACAGTAATGAATAGTCTTGTACTGGCATGCATCACTTTCAATCCCTGTGAGAGACAGACTATTGTTTGGAATAAACTAAGCATTTATTTTGTTTATATATAGAATTCTAATAATATACACAAAAATAACAAGGCTTGATGATGTTTAGAAGGCTATTGAATCTACTTCAAATTATTCTGTTTTCTCTGTACTAACACAGGCTGTCATCTCTTACATAGACTACTTTGCTTTATTGGTCACCTGTTTGTACTCAGGTTTCTGTGTGGCTTGTTCTCCACATAGGTAACCCTTTACAGATCACATCACCACTTGGTTTCTAATCTTTCCGTGACTTCCTGTTACACTTAGAAACCATATATCACTGTATGATCTGTACCTTTCCAGCTGTTTTTCTTGTTAATCTTTCATTGTCTTGTTCTTTAGGGCTTTTCCCTCATGTGTGGCTGGCTTCTCAGTCTATAATTTTTTAACATTAATTCCTCATAGAGAGCTCCTTTGAATCTATAATATTATATCCCACCTTTAATTATTTTACTACAAACTATATTCATGTGTTATTAATTTGTAGTCTGTCTTCCCCAGTGACATACTCCATGAAAGCAAGGATCATTCAACCAATGTTTAGGGCCTAGGAGAGATAGAATTTCTTTACTTAAATAATGCAATTTTCTCATAGTTCAGATCTTCTGCATAACCCAAGACTCCTCAAACTCTCATTGCCATTAAGTTGACCCAACTCATAGTGACCCTGTTGTTTCTGATGATATAAATCTTAATGAGACTATTCGTGGTGGACTATAGTTTCAGGACTATTTAGTATTTCTGAAATTTGGGATTCTCCAAAGGTGATGTCGGAGCCAAGTACCTACTGGTGCCAGCTAGCGTCTTTTGAAAGATAGCCTCCTAATATAGCTTTGAATATTTGTTCCGACATTAATCCTAGATGCCAGGAAGATGAAGTTGTTAATGCATTTTTATCTTTAAGTCTATGTCCATAAAATTTCTGCTTGATTAAAAATTTGTATTCTTGGAGACTGTGACCCAAACAGAAATTAAACAGTTTTATCTTTTAATTTACAGAATATACTGATGATAATGCTCTAATTCCCAAGAATTCATCTGTGATTGTGAGAAGAATTCCTATCGGTGGTGTTAAATCTACAAGCAAGACATATGTTATGTAAGTGTGTGTAAAAGTTACATAGATTAATGAAGGCTGCACAGTGGAGTGGACTTGGGAGGGATTGCATAACAGTGAAAGAGTTTTACTTTTCAAGGAGAAAAGTGAATTAAGGGGGCAGGGGTGGGTAGGGGAAAAAGTGCAACAATGAATGACTGGAAACCCTAAGTCTCTGTAAACTTTAATTAAAATTAATAAAATATACAAAACAAATTTTTAAAAATGTATTATTAAAGTAGTTCAGAAATCATTTTATTTTGTGAGAAAAGGTACATTTTAAAACAGCTCATTATCTTTTGTGAGTATATCTTCTCAGCTGTGACATATTTTGGTGATTTTAACTTTTAAATTTACATTATTAGAAATTTTTTCTCTTTATAGACAGTAATTAACAGGGACAAGAAAATGATAGTCAGAAAGTAAAATATTCTTATATTTCACTTTGGTTTTTTACTTGGCCTATACACATTTTCTTTTTTTCTTAACTATTTTTGCCCAAAATAAGTATTTTAAGTATCTTTAGAGAATCTCTTTAAAAAAGAGAGTAGTCAGCGAGCTCTGGTGGCCTGGTGGCAGGAAGCTGCACTGCAATTCCAGAGGTGCACGGTTCGAATCCACCAGATGCTCTGCTGAAGAAGGAGGAACAATCGCCTCCTATACCAGTCAGATCCAATTTGTTGGTATACACATAAAAAGAATGAATGAATGAATGAATGAATAAATAAATAAAATTATTTTAAAAAAGAGAGTAGTCATTGATGTGTTGTATAAATGTTTTTATCGAAAGCACAGTAAGTTTAAAAATAATAAGAAAATTTTTCAGTGATGCTTAACATTTACTCCATATCCCTAAAGAAACTTTGACTTGGAGGTTAAGCAGGATTTAAGAACATACACTATGAAATCAGGCTTAGATTTGACTCCCTTTATTGCTTTATACCAACTGTGAAGTTACCAAAAGCCTCTGTACCTCAGCTTTACTCAAAATATTAAGGACATGACTGCTTAACCTTATAAGGATTCAGTGAACAGTGGCATGTGGTGAATGCCCAGAATATCATTGGCATGAGAGCAGCAACTTTTCAGTTTAAGATTTACCAAAGGGCATGAGTTTAACTTAATGTTATTATGTCCTTTAGATCCTTATTTCCTTCTTTCCCTTTTAATAATGATACTAGAAGGGAGCTCTTGACCTAGTGGCAAGAAGCTGTGCTGCAATTCTGAAGGTGCATGGTTCAAATCCACCAGATGCTCCACTGGAAAAGGAGGAGCAATCTCCTTTGCCAGTTGGATTCTAGTCAGTAGTATACAACAAGAAAAACATCATAATGATACGTTGTTGTTGTTGTTGTTGTTGTTAAGTGCCCTTGAGTCATAGCGACTCTTAGGGACTCTATGAACGAAAGTCCTGGACACCTGTATAACTTTTGTCCTTTGTCCAGGTTCATAGGGTTTCCAGAGGCAAGCTATTATGGAAGTGGGCGCCACTCCTGCTTAATAAGTGAAAAAGACTAAATTGTTTAACAAGTGGTAAAATTAGGTAACTTTAAAGTTTAGTTTTGGTCATTGACAAATTTTGGAACTTGCCAGACCTGCAAAATAATCTATTCTTGGAATTGTGATAAGATAAAGTTGCCTCTTAGACTTTTTTAGTTCAAGATTTCCAAATTTATAAACTTTAGATGTTAATAACTGCTTTCAGGATAGTGTTAACTAAGCATTTAAAAGCTGTACAGTTAGCGATGCAGTGATAAAGATTCTGCATCCCTTAATTCAACCAAGCCCCTATCAAAAATATTTGGAGGGAAAAATTCTGGAAAGCTCCAGAAATCAAAACTTGATTTGCCATGCACAGGAACAAAATCCGTTTGAATGAAAGATGTTTAGAGTACATTGCTGTAGTTATTCTTCCACCATTTCACGGATTTTTGCGGAACATTTTTGTTGGACATTCTGCTGATTCATTGCTTATATTGTGTCTCCTCTTTGTTTCTATGAATGGCTTATAAAAGGTAATTAATTGGTTAAAACAATCCCTTGAAGGCTCAGTAAGGTGGAGCAGCATTTACCATATCATTTTATATTAGTGACTTGGTGCTTTTGTTGTGCCATCAAGTTGGAACCGACTCATGACTGACCCTGTAATGGGCTTTCAGAGGTAGTAAATTGCACAGGAGTTAGTCGTTCTGTCCGTCTGTCCATCCCGTCGTTGTCGCCCCTCCCCCCCCAAGAGGATATGAACAGCATATCTTTGGGATTGCAGTGCAGGCTCTTACCCACCAGAGTTCCCTAAGGCACTTGATAGGAACAGCTATACTTTGTAAGCCATTTCTACTTTAGCTTTATTTCTGTGTACTTCTGTCCAATTTCTTAATTTAATTGTTAAATTATTATAATCATTTAACTCATTAAAGTAGAATTGTCAGATTGTGTGTTGCTTTTTTCAAGAAGTTAGAATTTATATTTAATCCTTAGTCACTATTTTGAACTCTTTAAAAAATTAAATTAACCCTCAGCCTATCTTTCTGGATTTGAAAATTTTGAAACAGTTTCTCCAAAGACCAAATCTTAAAACTATTAACAACTATGGTGATGTTTTAAGAAAATATGATGTATAAAAATTTAATCTGGACCTATTGAAAATTTGAGGCACAATATATATTTAATTTTTTAGTCTATTAGAAATAAACCATAAAGTTTCTTAACAGAATCTCTTCTGTAGTACTTTTCTGAAACTCCTAGTATGAGTTGTTTTTGTTGTTTATTTTACAAGTGCATCTTAAATTGAGAGATAGTAAAGTTAATCCAAATGCTTTGTTTAGAAACTATTTTTAAATCTTTGTATCAGAGAATGTACTCCTAAAAATGGATATATTTAAGATATATTATCACAAAAAGTACATAAAAAACAGCTTATATTTGATGTCAGTTTTTTTGTTGTTTCTTTTGTGTTCTAGAAGTCGAACTGAACCAGTGATGGGAACGTCAAAATCAGTATGTAAAAACACAATCTCACACTTTTTCTACACATTACTTTTACCTTTATAATGTAGCAGTGAAGTAAATATTTTTAGAACTAAATATCCATCCAGTCATAATACATGTTGTCAAGAAAGTGTATTTTGATAACAGCTCAGTTGAAAATGGATATATGTGGCATAATTTGCACATCTATTTTGTAGAGATGGGTAATTTGTGCCCCCCCAACAATGTTTCATACGAATATGGGAGCATTCCCCAGTATGACACTGTGTTGTACAGTTACTGTATAATCCTCTATAGATCATGTAGGTTTGACACTGATGAACATGATAACATGTTCTACATCTGTCTGTCTATAGTTAGTATTTTGTATGTATGTACAGGCTGTTGTGTGCTTTTTGTTTCTTGCAATAAAAAAAATGTTTGGAGTGTATATTTTGCCATTTTCACGTGTATCACTTAGCTTTTGTTAGTCGGGCTTTTTGTTTTAATTTGGGGGTTTTTTTGGTTTGTTTTGTTGTTTTCCTGCCTGATTGATGGCTTTGAAAAGATGCATTAGCAACATGTGAAGCTTACATTAAAATTTGGTATTTTCTTGAGGTTCAAACACATCAAGAAGAGAATTGTCCGAGACCTTTGATGTAGCTTTGTTATTTAGTTTTGCTATATTTGACAATTTTGAGTGTCCTTGATCATACCATAAATATCAAATGAAACACCAAAAGTTGGGTGTTCCCCACAAGCATATAAAAATGTCTTGGCGAGCTCTGGTGGCCTAGTGGCAAGAAGCTGCAACTGCAATCTCAGAGATGCATGGTTCGAATCCACCAGATGCTCTGCTGGAGAAGAAGGAACAATCTCCTGTACCAGTCAGATCTGATTTGATGGTACACACACAAAATAATGAAATAAAATAAATTTTTTTAAAAAGTCTCATTGATTTTAGTATTTTTAAACATTAGACACATTCCACTTCTATGTGTCTGCATAGCTCTCTAAATTAAAACATTTCCTTTTATAAGACATTACAAGGTCTTTTTATAAGACATTACAGGGTCATATTAGTTATAGACCAGTTGAAAGCCATAGCTTGTCAAAGCTCCTTTATAACCAGGGTAACAACTTAGTATTTGTTATCACAGATTAATCTTAAATCTGACACCATATTTATGTTGACTTCTTAAATTAAAAGGTAGCAACATTCCCAAGTTATAGGGTGAAATATGTTTAGAAGACAGCTTCATAGTAATTGGGCTCTGTAAATTTGATGGTTCTCAAAACATTTCACTGCTAAGGCTCAGTATTGTACGTAATTCAAGATGTCTCAAGTCTTCAATTAGAATTCAAAGGTATTGCTGTTTGTTTCACTTCGTCCTTTTAAAACACTACTGATCTTTAATTGTGTATGAGGCATTTCACTAACCTGGGATCATTGGGTCTTAATTCATTGCTTTAGCATATATCTGAACTTTGGACTACTTTTCTCTAAGTGTAGCCTTTAGTTCTCATGGAACTAAATGGAGTGATCAAAACTCATAATGTTTGCAGTTTGGTTTTTCCCCCCTCCCCTTTTTTGGGGCATATGGGTTTTCGGGGTAGCGGTGGGGGTTTTTTTTGTTTGTTTTTTGTTTGGGATTTTTATTTTTGGGGTTTTTTTTAAGCATAATGCTGTAAAAACTGTCCAAGTTTCAAGTTTCTGTTTTGCTGGTGATTGGTTTAAAACTGATTTTTATGTATCCAAATGCTAGCATAAATAGATTGACTATCTTGGTGACTGTAGTAGTTAATGTAACCTATTTTGTATAAAGTTCATTTTATATAGTATTTTAACTATTACAGATGAAGTTTTATTTCTTGAAAACAGTTCTTTACTTTTTGTTTATTAGCATGTGTATAAACACAAATCACATGTTCATAAATAAAGTTAACATTCTTTTAGCCTCGTGTGTTCCCTGGCATGTCTGTATTACATTTATAAGAAGTGATTTGCTTTGAGCTTATTTAGATAAGATTTATTCTTTTTTTTCTTTTGATGTTCTAAAAGTGGCTTAAATTTGAGATAGTAGTATCTGGAATAGAGTTATTAGATAACTTATCCTCATCATTTACTTGCTTGGAGGGTAATTGCTGACATTAAGAATGAGACTATGCACAAAACTGGGCGTTTCTAAGCCTGTTTAGTGCCTATCTTAATCATATGGCTTTTACACATACACTGAAAGAAAAAGCAAGAATGAGACACTAAGTAAAATTTTTCTTTCTAATTGTTTGTTCATTTTTTTAAAACTTCAGCCAAAACCAGTAAAGGATGGCTTTTTCTCAACTGCCTGGTCTTGTTTTATATAGTCATTCTTCCATGTTTGTACACTTCATAGCTGGTAATTCTTCCTTCTACTAAACATCAGAATTATGCATTGTAGGATCCCTTAATTTAAGCCAGTACAATTGCAATGAGAGATTTTAGAGCCTTGCTCCCAGCATCCATACCAATTCTTTGATTCAAGGAAGTGAGTAATTTAAAATTGATGTAGAGTTATTTCCTGCAATGTACACTGATCAGGTTTTTTGACCGCTGGGGTTACTTTTTTCCTATAGTGAGTTTTTTTCTACCTTTACTAGTTAACTGCAAAGAGTCACTATTTTTAATATTTTGTGCATAAAATCTTAATTTTTTAAAAACCATTCTTTGTCAACATTTCTCACTCATTTCTTATACTCTTGCTGTATGTAAGAAACCTCAAGAAAGCCCAGCCAAAGATCAAAAAGATACCCATATCTAAAGTGTATGGATTGGGACTATCAAAAAAATGTCTTACCTCCCCCCCAACTTTCCCTGCCCCACAGTTCCCCAGTGGCAACAGTTACAATAACTGGTCGCCCTCTTCTTTGATATCATCAGTATTCATTTTCTAGACGATACTGGACTTTTAAAATGTTAGTAATTTGTTTCATTAGTTATAAACAGTACAGATGATAATTAACAGCTGTTGGCTCAGTCCTTGTGAACAATTAAAATAATCTCTGGTATAAAATGTCTTCTAAAATAGAATGAGTAGGTCAGAGTTTATTTCAGATAAAAAATATGTTTAAATACTCTCTCCCTCTATTTATCCACTGAGATTAGTTTTTTAAAGAAAGAACATTTTCACCAAAACTAGCTAAGAGTGAGAACCCCCTGCTGGATTATGTGGTTATTTACTAGAAATAGGGATTTAATGCAGTGTGAAGATTTTCAACCGTCCTTCAGCATGAGACAAAGAAATTTTGTCTAAATAAGAATCTCAGAATTAAAGTCCATCAGAGTAGCTTTCAAAATTTTAAAATGTTGCTTAAATTTAAATTTAGCCAACGTTGATTAATTTACATTTGTTCAGATCCAATGATGTTGGCATTGTGCTGAGAACTTGATATTAAAAATGGTTACATTTCTGGTTGGGACTTCATGTGATTTACTTTCTTAATACTCTTAGTTCTCTGGAATATATGCAAAATAACTCATGAAAACACTTTTCTTTGGGTGTTTTGTTGGTTTGGTTTCAGGTTTTCCCTCGCTTCCTTTGATCCAGGCACATTCCTACATTCTATATTCTAATCAGTAGCATGAGAAACTTATAACATTAGACGTAATCAGACTAGTTACTACATAGGAAGCTGATCATATATTTGGTACAATTGTAGAGAAATCATACTTCTAATGTTACATACTAAATATGTGTGTGTGTGCACACTTTAATTGATAATGATACCATTCTAAGAGTCAAATAAGAATTCTAATTACCTTATGTTTTAAAATTGAAAATGCACTATACTTTAAAATATATTTTGCTTTAATGAACAGATTGATACCTTTTAAAGCCCTGTAATACCTTGACTCATAATACCTGGCTCCATTTGGGTTTTTTCCCCCTGTAGTAGAGTTAATTAAAAGTGATACTTCTGTTCACCTTTGAAGAACTCTGGATACCTTTTGATTTCCTATTTTTGCTTTAACATCTTTTCCCTGAAAAAGTGAAGGTTTCTTTGTCAAGGAGCTGTTTGTCAACTCTTTGTATAGGAGAATGATAAACGGACTGTTCAGACTGATGAGCACATGCTAAAAATAAATTACAACTATGGAAGCTGTTGTTACTGCTGAGCTTCTAAAGAGCTGCTTTTTAAAATATGCTGTAGAAGTGGCATTGTGGAAAAGTTAGACTTCTTTTATTCTTTCTTCCATAGTACATTGTCTTGAGCCTTATCAAATTTAGAGACCACTCAGAGGTATGTGACTCTAAATAAGAGTAGTTAGCATTTTCTGAACAAATTTCCTGTATACTTTTTTCTTCATTTTTCTTTCTATAGTTGGATTCCCCTCAACTATTAGTTACTGTGTGTGCAATACATAGAGAAGAATGATGAGCCCCATTTCTAGTTTACCACAAAAAAATGCACTCTTTAAAAAAAGTTCTAAGAAAATAAACTCATTATTTAAACAGTGGCATTAGGGACTAATTGATCACTTTCAGATGTTTTCAGTGTTGGAACTTGAATGTGTGTTTAATTTTTTGTGAACAGATTGATGACTCTTCTGCATCTATTTCTCTGGCCCAGCTTACAAAGGTATATATATATATATATATATGTATTCTTCTTTTTTTTATTATTATTATTAAATTTTATTAGTTTCAATGAACATTCACAGGGATTCTGGGCTTTCACTCCTTCATTCTTGACAATTTTAACACTGTTTTTATATGTGGAACCACATTTAAGAGGGGTGGGGGCAGATCTATTTTGCAAAGCCACTGTACATATTGTTACTATACTGTAAAGAGTAGTTTGCCTTCAATTCTGGAGGAATCTCCTGGTTTTGGCTGCAGTTTATGTGGACTTTATTTAAGCAGCCAAAATAAAACTTAACATGGATGATTGTGTGATTATTATATCAGTTGGTCCCATTGATCAACATTGTAGTCTGTCTGCATTAGAAAACTTTTTAAGCAACCTAATTTGTTTGAACACAGACTATGTGAATTGTGTAAGTGTATACAGCTGTTTAGAGGAATATACTAATGTGTATGTTTGGCAGAAGGGCAAATTGTTACCTCCTGAAATTACTGTATGTGCCATGTTTTACAATAAGATTGCTTGCATTTTCTGCTTAACAATTGTACATTTTATTTGGGAAAGCACTAGTGATGAATTTTTAATCAGTAGGCTTAGTTTGCAAATTATGCCATCTTTCAAAAAAAGAAAAATACTGTAGAATAGGCAGATTCTTTTGAAGGCCAAGAAGGAAGTTTTCCAGTTTTTTATAAAATCTTTTTCTCTGAGAAACCAAATTTAGTGACCAAGGTTGCTGAGAAGATGGGCTTTCCATTAGTGCTGTCCCTGTCCTTGGCTTTGTTCCAGGTTGTGCCCTTTCCCCCTAGAATGTATATCCCTCCAAAAAAA